TTTATGCATCACGGCAGAGCAATACTGCTCACACTGCACTGTTTATCCGGTCTCTGTCTTATGAAGAGTATACTATAATAAATCAAACTACCACATAAACATTACAGAACATCACCTTGCTGTTTCAATAGTGTATTTGATGTTTTACAAAACCAAGGACTTGTGTTGTGTTGTGTTCAAATCCTATTCAGTGAAAGTCCATGAATAAGTTCGGTTTGTAAATGAACAGTGGGGTCACATTGTGGTGATGCGAGGGGAATAAATGAATATGTTAGGGGTATTTTTCCATGTGTGGGGACCTTTGGCTATACTTCAAAAAATTAAACTTGTTGAAATTATGTTTCATCTATGCTAAAATGTGTAACATGTCAATTAAAGATCTGATCAAGGCTTTGGCAACCCTCAAGTGCGCTTTGGTATGTGATGGTTTGGATTTTTCATTCTGAGTGCAACAATAATGATGTTTTACAGTAATGGCATGATGATAATGACAACTATATCAGTTTTTAGAGATAAGTATAGTCAACTTTTAAAGCACAAAAGAATACATTTACAAATAGCCCATTACTTGTTTGGTATTACAAAATATTATAATTGATTAAAATTCTGACCTTCGAATTGCTGCTCTGGTATTCTGGCATATAGATGTGCTTCGCTGTTCACTTCTCATTTACATCATAAAAAAATTATTAACATTTAAGCGGTATTTGGAACAGAATGTTAAGATATTATACATAAATACGAAATGAATTGATAATATAGTTTGAAGTCCTTTTTGGAAAAGTGCAAATTAAAATTTCCCATTTTAACACTTTTTATCATTTTATCATAAAGTAATTATTTAAGGAAAATTTTTTTTTTTTTTTTTTTTTTTAATCATCTTAATGAACAGAAAAGTTCTCCTTACAATAGATTACATGATGTATATATAATCTCAAATTAATGTTCGCTTCATACTTTATTTAAGAACGTAAAACGGATCGTATATAAAATATTAAACGCAAAGTCCTGATCATCTATTGTTTTATTTTTCGTGATCACTCACCTCAGGCCGGGACTGGAGCCGTTTGTTGAGCTCGTGCATCCGGAACTCCGGCTGCACCGGGTAGGGCGCGTGTCTCCGGTAAAACGGACCGAACGGAGATGAGTAGAAGGGGTCGCGCGGCGCGCCAGTCATGGTTTCTGTTACCGACAGCGCGCGAGGAGCGCATCCACACGCAGCACGTGGAGCACGACGATCGTAAACATACACACACACGCGCGCGCGGAGAGATGCGACTGTCAAATCACACGCGCGCTCTGCTGTGAGAGGAGAGGAGAGGAGAGGAGAGGAGAGGGACGACTGAAGAGGGAGAGAGAGACGAGGGAGGGGGTGGAGGAATGGAGAGAGGCTTCTGTAAATTGGAGGGTCTTTCCTTACAGTACAGTCTGACAAGTTGGCCAATTAGAGCAAAATTCAATGGAATGCAATCACTGTTTGCTTTTATCATGTTTCGGATAAAATCCCCTATGCATGTCATCAATAACTACTGCAGTGTGTGGTATTGTAGGATAATATAGTTTGCTGATGTGCAAATTAATTGCACTGAGCATTGCACATATTTAATGCAGAACTGCAACTACAGTGTGTGTGTGTGTGTGTGTGTGTGTGTGTGCGCGCGCGCTTCTCGTATTTTTCCATCTCTTTCTTTATGACTCACACAAGAGACTTGCTCTCCCACATACATACAGACACACATTCTCTCTCTGTTTCTCCCTCTGTCTCTCACTCTGTCCCATTGTTTGGAGACATACACACATTTTTATTCTTTTAAAAAACAATTTAAACTTTCAGTACATTTCCATTCGTTTTTATTATAAAAATCTCTCTTATGTAATGAGAGACAGAGCAAGTCCATATGGATTCTATTACTCTCTTGATTTAGGGGGAGAGCAAGGCCCCAAAAGTTCACCTCCTTTACTTCACTTTCTTTTTTCCATCTCAGTCTCTCTTTCTCATTGCCAAAATCAAGACACTCCCTCTTTTTTACAAAACAAAGCAGAGTAACACACACGCACACATATGCACAGTTCCTGTTGCTTCATTTTGTGCATGTGTGATTGATAGTTCAATGCTCATGTGGCTTCACAATGCAAACCGTAGGTATACTAGTAAAGAGGATCAGTGATGCACACACACACACACACACGCACACACGCACACACACCTCCCCCCTCAGGTCAGTTAATAAGAGTGGTTGCTGGGCTCTTTGTGTGCGTTGTGTCTCATGGGGAAAGGCGAGGGTGGAGAGGGGGGTCTAAAGGAATGGAATTTACCCACTCCACTGCTGTATAAATGGAGAGAGAGAGAGAGAGAGAGAGAGAGAGCAGGATAATGAGAAGGCTCTCTATCCATGTCTTTGTGTTTATCAATTTTCCTCCCATCTCTATGGTGACTTGATCAAAGATGACCACAAGATGTCACTCTCTGATTTCCCTTTAGTTAATGGCAAATAGCAAGAGGACTGAGAATAGCAGAACTGTTGGGAAGGCCAAGGCCTGTTTCTTGAGCAGAAGAGCACACAGATTTTTATTTTATTTTTTATTTTTATTATTTTGTTTTATTTTTTACAGTGGGGTTCAAATGTGTGTGTCCACATTAAAAATAAGTGATTCAAAATCCAACTTAACCTGGAAATAAAGAGAAAGATTAAGGATTTAATAAAGAAAGAAAGAAAGAAAGAAAGAAAGAAAGAAAGAAAATGAAATGTTATGATGCAAAAGGAATACAAATTTAGTCACTTCACTTCATTTTCTCACACAAGACAGTCTTTAAGAGATTTTTTGATTTGATTTGATTTGATAATTTAATTTTTGCATATTTTTTAGTTTCGTTTATTTGAACAACATACATACGATAAAAAGCAAAGAAATACAAGAAATACCAAAACCCAAAGCTTATTAAGATAAAGATAAAAAAGAGCTAAAGTAACATCAAAATATATAAAATATATAAGCTGCCTCAAATTACTAACAGCATATATTAAAAACCAAAGATAATACACCAGAAGCAAACGTGAAATGCATAAACAACAGGAAATAAGGAAACAAGATTATATGGCAGAAATAAAATTGTCTTTAAAGCATCTTTTACAACATATTAAAGAAGAACATTTTTTTGCCAGATGGGATAAATCATTCCATAATTTGAGTGAGAAATTTAGAAGGATTCTAAAATCATGCTGGACAACATAATTTTATGATTTGTATGAATGCATGCTGCTTGCATTAAACAAAAGGACATATGAAATACCAAGAAATTCATTTAAATTTTCTATTCAATGTTTCACTCATTGAACTCATTGATTTATTCTGATAATATAAAGTGTAATAAAAAGTGTTAAAGAACAAAGTGTCAGACACAAATGAAATGAAATGTGAGGCCCCATCAAGAAAAAAAAAATGAAAGAGAAACATATTGTAGGTTCATGTAAATAAACCTAAAGTCCAGTGAGATGAAGATCATAATGAACGTCCAAGGATGTTGCTCATCATTTAGAGCAGACGTCGCCCTCTCTGACCCTGCACAAGCAATTGAGTGTGTGTTTTCTTGGGCAATTAGCATGCCAATCCACAAACACACACATATGCATCTATACATATGGATAATCAAGGAAAGGAAAGGAAAATGAAAGACAAATGAAAGGAAAGGAAAGGAAAATGGAGACAGAGTGAGCCAGAAAGAGAGAGAGAGATCCACATGGATTTTATTGTTGAATCCTTTGATTAAATATTAATGCAACCTCAGATTCCCTAAAAATAATCCACAGACACTACAATATATAGGAGGGAATACAAACACACACACACACTAAACATACTAACACATACTAGATATGAATACTAAAGACACTCCACACACTGAAAACATTCACACTACCACTGTAAAAATCATATTTTTAAAGATTATATTGGTATTGCCTTAAAGTAAAAATATCTAAAAAAAAAAAATTAGAACAAGATGATTTTACCAGAGAAACAAAACTGTGCAACATATGAACAATTAAATAAACTTTTATTAATTTGTCTGTCTATTTGTCTTTTATTATTTTGTCTTAATAAAAATCAGTTTTTTTTATGCCAAACTGTATTTAGACATTTCATATATACTTTCAGCATTTTGTTTTATTATATACATACAAAAAAAAAAATATATATATATAATTATAAATGACTGATATTGTATAATATGTATAATATGATATTGTATTGCATTCTTTTGAAAATAATGTTTCATTTTCTCTGTTTGACAACAGAAAATGTGCACTTTTCCACTTGCAAGGTATCTCTATGGTGACTTGATCAAAGATGACCACAAGATGTCACTCTCTGATTTCCCTTTAGTTAATGGCAAATAGCAAGAGGACTGAGAATAGCAGAACTGTTGGGAAGGCCAAGGCCTGTTTCTTGAGCAGAAGAGCACACAGATTTTTATTTTATTTTTTATTTTTATTATTTTGTTTTATTTTTTACAGTGGGGTTCAAATGTGTGTGTCCACATTAAAAATAAGTGATTCAAAATCCAACTTAACCTGGAAATAAAGAGAAAGATTAAGGATTTAATAAAGAAAGAAAGAAAGAAAGAAAGAAAGAAAGAAAGAAAATGAAATGTTATGATGCAAAAGGAATACAAATTTAGTCACTTCACTTCATTTTCTCACACAAGACAGTCTTTAAGAGATTTTTTGATTTGATTTGATTTGATAATTTAATTTTTGCATATTTTTTAGTTTCGTTTATTTGAACAACATACATACGATAAAAAGCAAAGAAATACCATTACCCAGAAAACCCAAAGCTTATTAAGATAAAGATAAAAAAGAGCTAAAGTAACATCAAAATATATAAAAATCTATGGCTGCCTCAAATTACTAACAGCATATATTAAAAACCAAAGATAATACACCAGAAGCAAACGTGAAATGCATAAACAACAGGAAATAAGGAAACAAGATTATATGGCAGAAATAAAATTGTCTTTAAAGCATCTTTTACAACATATTAAAGAAGAACATTTTTTTGCCAGATGGGATAAATCATTCCATAATTTGAGTGAGAAATTTAGAAGGATTCTAAAATCATGCTGGACAACATAATTTTATGATTTGTATGAATGCATGCTGCTTGCATTAAACAAAAGGACATATGAAATACCAAGAAATTCATTTAAATTTTCTATTCAATGTTTCACTCATTGAACTCATTGATTTATTCTGATAATATAAAGTGTAATAAAAAGTGTTAAAGAACAAAGTGTCAGACACAAATGAAATGAAATGTGAGGCCCCATCAAGAAAAAAAAAATGAAAGAGAAACATATTGTAGGTTCATGTAAATAAACCTAAAGTCCAGTGAGATGAAGATCATAATGAACGTCCAAGGATGTTGCTCATCATTTAGAGCAGACGTCGCCCTCTCTGACCCTGCACAAGCAATTGAGTGTGTGTTTTCTTGGGCAATTAGCATGCCAATCCACAAACACACACATATGCATCTATACATATGGATAATCAAGGAAAGGAAAGGAAAATGAAAGACAAATGAAAGGAAAGGAAAGGAAAATGGAGACAGAGTGAGCCAGAAAGAGAGAGAGAGATCCACATGGATTTTATTGTTGAATCCTTTGATTAAATATTAATGCAACCTCAGATTCCCTAAAAATAATCCACAGACACTACAATATATAGGAGGGAATACAAACACACACACACACTAAACATACTAACACATACTAGATATGAATACTAAAGACACTCCACACACTGAAAACATTCACACTACCACTGTAAAAATCATATTTTTAAAGATTATATTGGTATTGCCTTAAAGTAAAAATATCTAAAAAAAAAAAATTAGAACAAGATGATTTTACCAGAGAAACAAAACTGTGCAACATATGAACAATTAAATAAACTTTTATTAATTTGTCTGTCTATTTGTCTTTTATTATTTTGTCTTAATAAAAATCAGTTTTTTTTATGCCAAACTGTATTTAGACATTTCATATATACTTTCAGCATTTTGTTTTATTATATACATACAAAAAAAAAAATATATATATATAATTATAAATGACTGATATTGTATAATATGTATAATATGATATTGTATTGCATTCTTTTGAAAATAATGTTTCATTTTCTCTGTTTGACAACAGAAAATGTGCACTTTTCCACTTGCAAGGTTCTACAAGGCATGGATATCAGCCAACTTCATCTCAAAAAATTGTTTGGTTTGATTTATATATAAATAAAAAATCATTAAAAAATTACATTTCCAAAAAATGCATTTCTAATCAATGTTATTTTTATATGGATTCAACATAAAGTGATGTCCATGTAAAATACATTGTACTTGCAGAATAACAAATGCTCACATTAACATCCACACATAAAATAATTATAATCAAGAGTTATTTACAACCAATTAGTAGTCAAGATTCTAAAAAGAGAAAATCTGTGTTTTAAAGGTGTAAAGAAAAGAAGAGTAAACAGCGGTGAAGAAAGAGGGAAGAATAGCAGCACACATTCAACTGCTCAGGAGTAACACAAACACAACTTCAGCTTTGCTTGCTGTATGCTCCTACCATTCACTATTCTTTAGATCTGATGTTGTCATAGCAACCTCAACTGGTGACCTCGTTCTTTCAGCTTTGAAATTATGGGCTGCCCAGCCTGATAACAAGCAAGAAAAAACAGAGATAGAGAAAATATTTTTTCCTTGTTTCTCTTGCTGTTGCTGCAATACAATGACATAGCCTACTGCAATTTCTGAAATTATGAAACAATCTTCCCATTGTAAATCAACCACAAAACTCAAAGTTAATTCATTAATACATTACAAATAATTACAACACAAATAATAAGTGCATGCAGTGCATTAGAAATTAGCTATTGTCCTATTCAATGACTCATGGACAAAATGCACAGCAGCAAAGAAATATTATAAATAAGTAAATAATTAACTGATTGAACTCATAGGCTCTATAAAGAATGGCCTATGTAATGACTTGAAATGCCATTTAAAACTGAAACAAGAGGTTTATGTCTCCGCTTAGGTCAGAATATCCTGGCTTTATCACCTTAGATTTGGAATATATACAGAAATATACAAATCCTGGTTATAATTACCACTGGTTCCTAAAGCCATGCCTGATTAGGGATACAATGATGAATTCAAGAATCATAATGCACAGTAAGAACAATTAATAAAAATGTAATTCTTAACAAGCTGTTGTATTATTATCACCATCTAATATTTGCAGAAACCAATCATTAAAAAAAAAAAAATAAAAAATAAAAAAAATATATATATATATATATTTTTTTTTTTTTTTTTTTTAAGTTGTAAGATTTATTTCAGCCGTCTTATATCACCAATATATTACGGTACCTTTATTTCAGACCTCAAGTGTCACATATTTGATACATTGTTCATTGTCTTCTAAATTAATTTCACAACTAATTCACAACTGCTGTCATATAGAGAAACAGATGATGATGATGGTAAAAATTAATAAATATTGAAGAAAGAAAGAAATCCTGAAACAGCAAAAATCTCCCTGCTATAAATATGATGGATGGATGGATGGATGGATAGATAGATAGATAGATAGATAGATAGATAGATAACATTGTTTTCTAGCTAACTGTCCTACCAAAATTATTTTAGGGAAGAAAACATATATCTGCTGTTAGATAGTAGGATCAAAACTTGATATAAACAGGTGGATCAATGGCTCCAGCTCAGACTTGTGCTAAATGTTTTCTTGGCACTCAGTCGACCCCTTAATACCAACTAGAGCATCATTTGACTACTGTTTCTGATTGCATATCCATTTATGGCTAGAGTCTGCTTGCTTTCAGAAGCACACATCCAGCAGATCCACAAGCAAACATCATCTGGCATTGACTCCAGTGTCTTCAGATCTTAATCCAGAAGGACTGAATGAGGTAGAATGGGAGGTTTTGTGTGGGCCTGCAGGAGGTGCACAAAATCCTGCTACAAACAAAACCTGCTCATGAATGTTTCGAAAGGTTCTTAGTTGTTGCATCACGTGGAATCTCATTATATTAATAAACCTCGAAAACGCTCACTGGTGCAATCGTGTAACAATTTTACATCGTATCATAATGCACTATACAGTCATTAGTTTATTTACATTTGCAGGAATGAAAATGAAAAAATGGACCTACTTGTGCTAACATTGTTCCAAATTCAAATGATTTATGTGGCACACATAAGATGTTAGGCAGAATTGTTATACTCTTTTGTTAATACAATGAAAGTGGATAAATGTGAAATGAATTCACAACCTGTCAAGCTCCTAAAAAACAAAATAAACATAATCTATAAAAGGCCACTCAGTATTAAGACATACAGTATATAGTGGCACAATATTCACTTCAATGACATCAAATGTCATAGTCAGTAGATGGCATATTGAATTTTACACAGATGAGAACTGTGACTGTGTGGGATAGACTGTGTTTATAATTGTGGGAACATATATGCTTTTAGTATCTTTAAGCATTACTTAAACATTAAGTAGATACATTACTGTAGATGGCATGCACTATTTAAAGGTCTTAGATCATATGTACAGCTCACAACTGTTTTATGGAGTTTCTGTCTACTGAAAGTTTTTTTTTCTTTCTTCAGTTGAACAATCGATGTTGTTAAACTACAGTACAATCTACTGAACACACTGTACTTCTATCCCTCATAGCCTCGTGTTCATTCCTGTCAAATATTAAATATGGTAAATGTTAATGTCACTTATAAAATATACTATTATTCATTTTAAATTTATGCTCACTCATTATACATTACCTAATGTTAATTTATACAACTTAAAATGTTAAATGTTTTAATATATGCAAAAAAAGTACATTAACCAGATTAATACATGCTATAAAGGTATTATTGTTACTTCATACCGAATACATTAATACATAATCAATTAACTAATGTTAACCGCCTTTACCCTTGACTGGCACTCTTGTTCTGGTGTGTCTGTGATTTGTGACACCAAATATGAATATGCATATTCAAATCACATGATCATCACATTTGAGAGTAAAAGCAGAGGATTTTCATTGAATAATGCACATTTGAGTCGTTTCTTCACACAGCTATCATATGGCTTGGAGTAATGTACCAAATATGAATATGCATATTCAAATCACATGATCATCACATTTGAGAGTAAAAGCATCATTGAATAATGCACATTTGAGTCGTTTCTTCACACAGCTATCATATGGCTTGGAGTAATGCGCAATTCACATTCACTACTTTTAACTTCATTTTATAGACTTTTTATTTATGCATTCATTTTTTGCTTTTATTGAACTTGCTTGTCACCCCCAGATCACCATTCATTTTTATTAATAAAGAGCAGCATGAACTTTTTGATAAATCTCCTTTTCTGTTCCAAGCAAGACAACAAGGTTTGAAACAACAGGACATTAAGTAAATGACAGAATTTTACATTTTTGGACAAAATTTTGGAGGTCTTGATTTTCCAGGCAGCAAACAGCACTTCCCAACACCCACCTGGATGATTACTATAGATTTACAGAGAAAGCTGTACCCTAAATTCAAAGACCACAATAAATACTTTCCTGAAATAGCATTTTCAAGTGACATTATGCGAGGCTCTGTACACCTCATTTGTGTTTCCTCTCAATCATAATTATTAGACAGGAGATAATTAACATGTTAAGTGTTAAAATATGTCAACATTATAAAAAGACAAAGTTTTTGTCAATTATTATTTTCTACTTTTGCCATTTAAAAATTCTACTTCATTATTTCTACAACATAACTCATTATGAGTTTAATGAGAATGACTCTAATGACTTCCTCTCAATCATAATTATTAGACAGGAGATAATTAACATGTGTTAAGTGTTAAACTATGTCAACATTATAAAAAGACAAAGTTTTTGTCAATTATTATTTTCTACTTTTGCCATTTAAAAATTCTACTTCATTATTTCTACAACATAACTCATTATGAGTTTAATGAGAATGACTCTAATGACTTATTTTTTGTTTTTTTAACATCGAGTGCATCTCTTTTCTAGTAGCTCAGGAACCTATTATTATTTTTCCATTTCATCTAAATTACTGGAAATTAAAAACTCATTTCATGAACCATTATTCTTGTACTTTGTTACAATAAAAGCAAGTTTATAAAGAGAAAAAAAGGCAATACTTAATGAATACCCGATCCTCACAAAAAAATAAAACTGCATTACTTAGTAAAAGCACTTTTTTCAATGCTGACTCACCTTTCTAGTCTGATCAAAACATAATCACTTTTTTGTATGGACCCAAAGGAGAACCTGTAATTAAATTAACCATCAGCGCCCCACTATGGTGAGCAGCAGACTGTAAAAAGGATGTAGGATTTAGAGAAAAGAAAGAAACAAAATAGAACAGTTTCATTGCTATTTTGCCATCACATTTACTAAACAATATCTTTGACATTTTTATGCAATTATCCTATTTTTAAGAGCTACAATTTACAGTATGTTGATGTTTACATGTAAACAAAAAGGCAATAGGACAAAAAGTGTCACTAATGCAGATACAGTAGTGGGTTATTGGCTTGATTTGAAGGATTTTGAATATCATACATTATATTAATCATAACACCGGTGTAGCCTCCGTTTCTCCGTCTGCAGTAACCAGCTGCATCAGAGTACCTGAAGGAGGTCTGCTCTCTCCTGTAGTCCACTTATAGAACAGCCTAGAATACAGGAAACAAATCATGCTTTAGTTCACACACAAAACACACACACTACATACTAAAGATGCTCCCAAACACGCATACTTACTCTGATATGTACTCCAACGGTGTCCAGGAACTGACATCACCACCCGGCATGAACTTTCTATTCATGGGTGTATCCAAAGTCACTCTAAAAGTAGTAATTATTAGTTGTCTTTAAAAACAAAAAGATTTGCACGGATGAAAATGAGTTACTATATCGTCATTCCTTACGGAAGTATTGCTATTGCAGCACATCCCGGAGGAAGACCACTATTTGGTGCGCTCAGACTCTGACACAACTGATGAACCGCTGCCTTTGCCATGCCATAACCAATGCATCCTACAATGACAATGAGAAAGAACACATATATATATATATATATATATATACACACACACACACACACTTTATATTAAAGCTGCTCTAAATGTCCAGCAGTAAATATAAGCATGCATACCTGCTGTTGGACCCAGTGCTGCTTTAGCCCCTGCCAGTGTGAGCAGCCCCCCCTCTCTCAGGTGTTTGGTTGCTAGGTGACTGCAAATCGTGGAGGTCCACACACTCTGCTTCCACATCAGATCAGCATTCTTATACAGAGCTGAGGTGCACAAAATACATTCATACAAAATATAAACTAATATAATGACGTTAATTGAAAATATTAACTTTTTGGACAGAATTAGACTTTGGAGATAGCGCCCCCTTTTCATGACAAAAAAATGACAAAAAAAATCATCTTGCATAGCTAGAATGTGAATGCGTTTGTGTAAAGTATGGATTTTGCCTTTAGATTAAAAATGTGACAATGTTCTGGAGTCAAGATTTAGTGTGTCATAGATCAGTGGTTTTCGACCAGGGAGCTTCAGCAAACTTCCAAAGGACTGTGGCATGATTTAAAGGGATAGTTCATCCAAAAATGAAAATTACCACATTATTTACTCATCCTCAAGCCATCCTAGTTGCATATGACTTTATTCTGTTAGACGAATACAATCAGAGTTATATTTAAAAATGTCCTGGCTCTTCCAAGTTTTATAATGGCAGTGAATGGCTGTTAAGATTTTGAAGCCTAAAAAAAGTGTATCCATCCATCATAAAAAGTTCTCCACACAGCTCCGTGGGGTGAATAAAGGCCTTCTGAAGCGAATTGTTGCGTTTGTGTAAGAAAAATAACTATTTAGATTAAAAATGTGACAATGTTCTGGAGTCAAGATTTAGTGTTTCATAGATCAGTGGTTTTCGACCAGGGAGCTTCAGCAAACTTCCAAAGGACTGTGGCATGATTTAAAGGGATAGTTCATCCAAAAATGAAAATTACCACATTATTTACTCATCCTCAAGCCATCCTAGTTGCATATGACTTTATTCTGTTAGACGAATACAATCAGAGTTATATTTAAAAATGTCCTGGCTCTTCCAAGTTTTATAATGGCAGTGAATGGCTGTTAAGATTTTGAAGCCTAAAAAAAGTGTATCCATCCATCATAAAAAGTTCTCCACACAGCTCCGTGGGGTGAATAAAGGCCTTCTGAAGCGAATTGTTGCGTTTGTGTAAGAAAAATAACTATTTTTAAAACTTTAAATGTAAATGATGGGGTAATTTTCATTTCTGGGTGAACTATCCCTTTAAAATTATGTAAATGTATATGTTATTATTAATATAATTAATTTTAATATTAAGCAAAATCATTAACATAAATGTTAACATACATACAATCACTATTCATCTTTTTATTCAATTTTTAATAATTGTTTACATTTATTTTATTGAATAACAGTTCTTTAAACTACTGGAAGCACATATACTGTATGCACAGTATATTCTCTATTATATAGATGGCCTTCAAATATTGTGTTTGACAGTAGGAAGTCTTTGAGTCAAAAAGGTTGTGAACCATTTTCATGGGTTATGCGTGGCTTCTGTGTGTGCATGTACTAACTTTTGGCCTTGGCGCTGCCTCCTGCCCAACCTCCAGCCACACACAAGATGGCATCAACCTTATCTGCACCTAACAGCTCACCGACATCAGCTGTCACCTAAATAAAAAAGAAAGACAGAGATGTAACATGCTTGCAGACAACACATAAAACTAAGAATCAAGGGCATGTAGATATCTGAATAGTGACAGACCAAAAATTCTGACAATATTTGGCAATTTCATAAAGATGGCATCTGCCCATTCCCAGTTTAAAAATAAATGCACATGGACAATTAAAAGAAATAGTGTAAGTTACGCATACTTTATTAGCTTCACTCATAAAAAGTCATTTTTTAACAGCGTACCTGGTTGGCTTGCTCAGTGAAGGATTCAGTCATCTTAACTGTAACATTGGCATTGGCTTCTTCATTGGCATTGAGATCTATAGAGGCGACCCACTGTAAATGACAAAACACACAGTTGAAATTTAATGATCCACCTTATTTACGCACTGTATGACAGGCCACAAGAAATGCATATTTAAGAATAAACGCATGACACTGTGACAAATGAATTAATAATTAACAACATTATCACTAAAACACATGTCTGATGGCACACTAAAAGCCATTTATTTTCAATGACATGAGCGGTCTTTTGGGTTGAGACAACTTACCCAGTTTTTAGCTCTGAAGTACTGCACACATGCAGACCCCAGAGCCCCCTTTCCTCCGTAAACAAGCACTTTATGGGCTTCTGTAGCTGCCATGCTAGTTCTGCCTTCAGATGCGCACGAGATCGTGTTATGCAAGGAAATCAGCACGTGCGCCTCCTACTGGTAAAGAGGAGAGGAGCAATCCAAATTTTACACGTGTTGGTTGTTCAAGCATTTTAAAATGTCTGTATGAACAGTTAAAACAATTCATATTTTTCCAGTTTAATGTTTGCAAATATTTGATCAAGACCAGTAAATGTAAAATCCGTACAGCGCCACAGATGTAATACTCTTTTTGACCAGCAGGCGGTGCAGGACGTGTTTGCAAATCACGATTAAAAACAACGTAAAAGAAGAACGCCGCTCTTTAATGCACCTCTTCCGCTGGTTTGCCAAACCGCCATAAAACACCAGAAGAAGAAGAAGAAGAACGCCGCTCTTCCGCAGGAAGTACATGTTGTTGTGAAGCATCGCTAGCATTCTGTAACAAGCTTCTCATTTGGCTTTATCACTAACTTGACAGCATATGGTCGTTCAAAATAATATTTAAGCTTTAGCTGAGCTGTTTCTCTCAGAGAGAGAAGGCTGTGAGATTTTCAGGTAACGCTCAGAACTATTACTTCAGTAAATTGTAGATGTGTTTCTGCCTCATTTGTTATTTGTGGTTATTGTGATTTTGTTGTTTATATTAAACGTCTTTTGTTAGATATTTAATATCCACAATCATAAGTGATTTATCCATATCTTTGTTAGATATGGATAAACTTCAATCTGGCCTCAAATATCTCTTAACGTTGCATTAGATTGTCTCTCATCTAAAGATGAGAGATGAACGTAATAGTTACACAGTCCACAGATATTCACTACTATGTGTATGTAAGTTATATAACACATTCCTTTACAAACCTAAAAAGTGTTTGTTTTTGAATAAATTAACGTTAGTTGGGCCAGATATTGAATGAAAAGCAGCCAGCGTATCTATCGCATGGGAACTGGCTGATTATGATTATGGCTTTACTATTATTCGTAATATTATTGGTAAAATAAATAAATGCGTCCAAACCTTTGACTAATGGGGTATATCATCTCGGCAGATGTTGTGGTTATATTTTCAGCTGATAGTTTATAGTTTAAAGTGCACTGATTTATGGCTATATTTTGTCATTGTTTTCAGTCGTTGCACTAATTCATAGTTTTGGCTTGCAGCAACCTGCTATAGCATTTATGTAGTAATATAGAGCCCTGGTGTAATTGCTAGCATTAGCCTATTTATAATGTCATTGATGAAAATAAGTTCATTTATATACATGTATAAACGCTGTCGAATGCAATGCTTAACTGTCGTGTGTGTGTGTGTGTGTGTGTGTGTGTGTGTGTGTGTGTGTGTGTGTGTGGGATGGATAAAGCTCTGCTGAGAGAGCGAGAGCTCTTTAAAAAGAGAGCGCTGTCCACTCCTGCAGTAGAGAAGAGACCAGCGACCTCTGAGGCCTCTGGATCCTCCAAGAAGAAAAAGAGCAAACCAGACAGAGACACATCATCATCCTCCAAAAACAGCACAGGTCAGAGAGTAGATGTGTTGTGTTATTACTTTTTCTTTTGAACTTTATATTCATCAAAGAAAAAAAAATCACTGTTTCCACAAAAATATGAAGCAGCACATTAGAATGATTGGTAACACTTTACTTGAAGGAGTGTGCATAAGACTGACATGACACCTTCATAATCATGACATGACACATGTCATGAATATTGAATGATTTCCGAAGGACCATGTGACACTGAAGACTGGAGTATTAATAATTCATGAATATGAATAATTCATAAAAAATAATAACACTAATGATTGCTGTTGCTTTTTTTTTTTGTATATTTATTCTGAAGTTTTGGGTTTTACATTTAGAGTTACATAAGTTATTTTAAAAGTTGAGTAATTATCAAGACAATATTTTTTAACTCTTTCCCTGCCATTGACAGATTTTTTCGTCTTTGTGTTTTCACTGTTATACAGTAGGAGGCGCTATTACACATCTTCTGAAAGAGTATTGAATCTAGATCAAAACACAGCGAAGAAGCAGAAACAAGTGATTGCATAAGTAAGCAGATGCATATGAAAAATAACGCGATCATCAATCATTAAACGGCATATAGGGATGGTAGCGATCGACTTCATCTGTGTTTTGAGCATCATTCTGAATCCTGATTCTGAATCAAAAACGTGATTTTCTCACCTTTTTGTTCAAAATGTTGTTTTTATGAAACTTACCCACATTCAAGTGTTGAGTTAAAAAAAGAATGCATGAAACTAGAATAAAACATATTGTTTGTTTGCAGAGGCTCTGTTCTTTCTTTTGACATATTGTGTGTTCCGATATTCATACAACAAAATATTCTGGAGGCCATGAAATTTTTGTGAAAATGATCAAAAATGATGGTGGTGGCTGGCAACTTTATAAGTTAATAAATAACTATACCTGTGAATATTCTGTTGTTGAGTTCTTTGCTTTTTTTGTTTATCGCCTGATATTAAAGAACCAATAACCAGCTAGGTTGAAAATTCTGGATATCAGTAGAAAATATCGATCATCACATCTCTAGTGGTTATGATGGCTTGTGTATTCTAGGCCAGTAATATTGTCCTGCTTTTTCTTCTGTTAGATTTATTAATCTCGTTCTTATATGTAATCAGGGTGAAGCAAAGCTCAAGGACAGGCCTGTTTCTGCACGTTTTTGAGCATGTAGACAGATTTAAATGTATTTTTAGCAGCTGATGATATCTTCTGTGACCCTGATGGGAACCACACATTTCTTGTGCTTGTGTGATTTTTATTATATAATTTTAAATACACAATTTGAAGGCATTGCAAAGATGCAATAATTGACCTTTAGTGTGCTTCTTGATATAGCTTAGAAGTGTTATACATAACAATTATTCGCATATTAAATCTGACCTAAAAATGAATGTAAACATACACATACAAACATTCCCTTTACTCCAAATATACTGTGTGATATTTGCTTGAAATTGTCGAATCATATTGTTATACATACTTATTAATTCTATAATACTTTGTCATTCCACACAAAGGGAAAGATTCATGTAAACACTCAACAAAAAATTCAACAGTTTTATATAGTCATTACACAATAGTACTGGAATACTGAATGCAGAGGAGACAATGACGTGCACATACAAGCTAGTTTTTCCCTCTCTTTCTGGTGTAAATCTCATCTAAGATTTTAAGCCATGGAGACACCTGTGCTGTGTATTGCTGTTGGAGCTAGTGGGAGTAGAGTGCTTCTGTATGTGTCTGGCGTGTTTTATGGGACTCCAATCTGGCGAAGAGCTCTGTCCAAATCTGCAGCCTTTTCCACCGATCTGCTGTTGGGGTTCCTATGGCGACCGTGTCCGCTGTCACCATGGTTACAACTAAACCACCTCGTCGCTCTGGCGGCGCAGGTCACGAACGGTTTTGGTTTTGGTGAAGCATCCGCAGTCCAGCAGCTCATAGAGGAATGCCAGTGTGGCGAGGGAGAGGATGGTGAGGATGAAGAGGAGCAGGATGATGAAGCAGGCAATATTCCAGCCATCGTGGAAGGGATAGATCTGCTGGATCAGAGCAGAACTGCTGGACATGTTCATACTGCAGAGAGACCGATAAATACAGTCAGTTATTGAGGAGGAAGATGAAGAATGGTGTGGGTGGGAATGAAGATGGAAGGAGAGCTAGTGGCAGGGTGATAGGTAGATTGAATGACAATTTCTACACACTACTTTGTGTTTTTTGGTGTTGATAGGAAAAGCACATACATTATTTCATACTGTGCTTTAGCTGTCAGTCAGACATCTTTGTTCATTACATTGCAACCCACTGTTTTTGAGTATCTTTCAGCATAAGTGTAGGGTTTTCGATACATCATTTTAAGTTAAAGAGAGCTCAACTCTAGTCTGATGCATCTTTGTCTAGCTGTTTTTGAACACAAGTTCACACCTCAACTCATCTTATTGGGATCAGGTTAACCCAAAATCAGGATAATTATGTAGGAATTACTGAAATTTGATTAATTGATTAGTTGCTTAGGCAACCCATCAATTATTAAAAAAAAAAAAAACAGATTTGCAGTACAAAGGAGTAACTAAGTATTGGGACATACTGCCATATCATAAAATTGCATCTACCGTTTGTGGTAATGCTAAAAAAATTGTATTATAATTCTTTTAATTCAGTATTGGTTGCCTTTAGGTTCATGCATTTAAAAAATACATTGCCGTTGGTAAGATTTAGTAATATTTTTGAAAGAAGTCTCATGCATACGAAGGCTGCATTTATTTAATAAAAAAAAAAACTGAGCACAGTAAATATTATTGCCATTTCATGAAAAAAAACTTATTTTAATATTTTTTAAAATGTAAATTTATTCCTGTGAATTTTCAGCTTCATTACTCCAGACTTCAGTGTCACATGATCCTTAAGAAATCATTCTGATATGATTTGGCGCTCAATTTCTGATTATTACTACTGTTGTGGAAAACATGATGCAAGATTCTTTGATGCATAGAAAGTTAAAAAAGAACAGCATTTATTTGAATTCGAATTTTTTTGTAACAATGTAAGTCGTTACTGTCAATTTGATCTGTTTAATGCACCCTTGTCAAATAGAAGTAGTAATTTCTTTAAAAAAATAAAAATCTTACTGACCCCAAACTTTTGAATGGTAGTGTACTTTGGTAGGTTCAAATATTCCTTGCCAAACACTTACATATTAACCTAAAAAGCAGAGATAAAAATGTAAAGCTTTGTAAATCTACTGGAAATATATTATATCATCCAGACAGCTTTAGCATACTATTTTCAATGCACTTTTGGGATTTTTTGGATAGACTAATCCTAATCTTACATGTTATGTAGGACAAATAGTATAAAAAATGGGATGGCGCTTTACTAGACAAATGAACTGAGATGAATCAGCTGACCTAGTTTGCTTGAGTGGACATTGTGTGTGTTGTGTAGGTTTAGACCAGAGTAGAAGCTTCGTTTACAACATTTCTCAGATCATTTGATATTCGTATATGGTGTTTAAAATTCGTTCTGATGAGCTATCAAAGGTTTTCTG